ATTTATCAGTACCTTATTCCTTTTTATGACTGAATAATATAAACTAATTTGTATAAGACTAAACATTAGTTTCAGTATTTCTAGGTAGGTTAAATGTTCATATTAGGGATTCTGGGAAGATGACAGGAGTGGTGGAATAGTTTCCTAAATAACTATGACTTCCCCCTAAAAACAGAACAAATAGGATAGGAAAATCAAAAACACATGGACAGCATGTACAAGAATATTAATTGACTGTGTTTCTCCACAAACCCTCAAATATCAGCAGGTTGGGGACAAACATGAACAACTTCAAAACCTGTGTATTGTTATCATTTATACTGGAAGAATCGAAGGAAGCAGTGGAGCATTTAATAAATCTGAGAATTGAAAAATAGCCAAAAGACAATCACTAGAAATCTTGGTGGGCCAGTTTAAGAATACCATCAGAAATTGGGAAGGGTTTTGCATTCACTGATAATGGGTGAGTGAAAGAGGTCTATTGTAAAGTCTGAAGGGACTAGAGCCCCTTCATGAAGCTGTTAAAACTAACCAATTGTGTTAATCTGTTTTCTGTTGCTTATAACAAAATATCTGAAAACTGATAATTTATGAAGAAAAGAAATCTATGTCTTACATTTCTGGAGGCTGGGAAGTTCAAAGTCCACGAGGTACATCTGGTGAGGGCCTTGTTCTTGGTGGGGACTTTCTGAAGAGACCTAAGGCAGTGCAGAGTATCACATGGTGAGAGGTCTGAGAATGCTAACGTGATCTCTTCGTCTCCTTATAAAGCCACCAGTCAATTCTCATGATAGCCCATTAATCCATGAATGGATTAATACATTCATGAGGCATAGCCCTCATGATCCAATAACCTCTTAAAGACTCCACTTTTAAAATACCGTATTGGGGGTTAAGGTTCACCATGAGCTTTGGAGGGGACAAACAGTCAAACCATAGCACCAACCAAAGCTTCCTTCCAGGACTAATCCTCCCAATGAAAAGGAACTGAGAATATAATTGCATACCTCCTGAAGAATACAGACAAAGAAGAGAGAAGGTCCAGATAAAGGTGGGGAGATGAACAGAGCTAAGTCATCTCAGAAAGCAAGAAACTATATTTTTGAACACTATGTGAAAACAGGAGAGTTTTAGTGTGTGAAGTTAGAACAGCTATTCTAAGCCAAGCCTCCTTAGAAAATCAGCAGTATGACATAATTGTTGTCAATTCTTATACCAAATCTACGTAAGAAAAAATATAAATTAAAAGTTTTAGAAATGAGAAAATTTACTTTAGAAATGAAGACAAATTATAAGGAACACAAGAGGAAATAAACATATCGGATAATATACCTTAAGAAAGAAGTTGAAAATGAGAAAGGCATTAAAAATAAAAAAGATACTCAGCTGGTTAGGGCATGGCCTTATAACACCATGGTCAAGGGTTCAGATTCTCTGTACTGGCCATCCACCAAAAATATATATATATACACTAAAAAATTTTAAAAACTAAAATAAAAATGAAATAAAAAAGATAAGAAATAGGTGTAAAAAGAATTTGATAGAAATTGACATAATGGAAACAGGCAAAGAAGATTGAACATATGTATAATAGGAGGCCTAAAGAAGAAAACCATAGTTGGGCCGGCCCCGTGGCTCACTCGGGAGAGTGTGGCGCTGGTAGCACCGAGGCCGCAAGTTCGGATCCTATATAGGGATGGCCGGTGCACTCACTGGCTGAGCATGGCACAGAGAGGGTTGTGATCCCCTTACTGGTCAGGAAAAAAAAAAAAAAAGAAAAAGAAAACCATAGCAAGGGAACAGAACAGATAAAATTTAAGACAGTTTTACAATTACAATTAAAAATTACAATTTGACAATTTAAATGAATTGAAAACAGATTTGGGGACTACATTTTGAAAGAGTACAGCACATACCTGAGAACACTGACACAAATGACTAATACTGAGACATAGTTTAGAAAAATTATAGGACTTTAAAGGAAAAATAAAAATCCTTCAGAATGCAGGCTGAAGTTACAAAGTCCTTTATAAGCAAAGGAAAATTAGATTATTGGATACTTTTCAACAACACTTTGAGAGAGGAGGCAATGAAATTCCATATTTAAGATACTCAAGAAAGTATAAGCCAACTTTTTTTTTTTTTGCAGCTGGTTAGTATGGAGATCTGAACACTTGACCTTGGTGTTATAACACCACACTGTAACCAACTGAGCTAACTAGCCATCTCCCTAAAGATTTCGTATATAACAAAACTGACTTTCAACTATAAAAGTCACAAACCATTATCAGTATGCTAGAACTTGAAGGATATTGTTCCCAGTAGCCCTTCCTGAGCAATCTTCTAGAGACCAAGCTTCAGAGAATTAAAATAACTAGAGACCTATTAATATAAGAGGTGATGGTTTGTATTACACATAAATTAAACCAAGACCAAATGAGGCTTTAAAACGAGAAAGTATGATCTGTAACGTGGTGGGAAGAAGAATGGAGGGATCATATGCAAAACATTTAAAGAACTATTTTCAGTAATCATGGTGGTGGTAGTAGTATTGGTATTATTTCAGGAATCTGTGTAATGTGAAATAAAAGGTAAATGAGCAACTGTGTTATTCTGTCACAAACTAAATAATTGAGAATCAGGATTTTTGTGGAACAATATGGTAGCACAGCAGAGCCTCGGATAGCCAGTTCCCCGCTGTCCCTGCCACTAAGGTCTAATGCAGAGAGCCCTCCTCCTGGGAAATGGGGAGCAGCTGAAAAGGCAGCCATCCCCTTGCCCATCACAGAGTGCAAGTTTGTGGGGACCATTCTGAGATGACTTGCTTCTGGGTTGGGGTTTCATAGGTAGCAGAGCAGCTCTCTTGCTGCGATCTTTTGAGAGTCATCCCTGGACATAAGGGTTTGTCAAAGTAAGAAGCAACAAAAAGATAGAAAACAAATAGAAAACATTTTCAAAAACTTAAAAAAAAATTTGAAAAGAAAATAAAAAGAATTTAAAAAGAGAATCCTGATTCTTGGTGTGGAAGAAAGAAGATAGAGGTGACTGATGGGAGACTCAGGGCTAGCGGGGGGATGCAAGTGTTGGTAGCTAAGATAGAGAAACAAGCTACCTATTTAACTCGAGTTTTTAAAAAGAAAAATAGATAAACTCTCCTTTCCCCAGGATAAAAAAAAAAGGAAGAAATTAACAATATAAAAAAAATTAAAAAGCAAAATCAATAAAAGGCAGATTTAACTGTCAATTGGAAAATCTAGTCAGAAAAAAACCATGAAGATAAAATATTAAGAATAAGAAAAATGAGCAAATTCTAAGAATATTATAAGCAGTTATGCCTAAAAATCTGAAAATGAAAGAGAAAGATGATTTTCTTATGGACAGGTTTTGTCAAACATAAAGAACAGGGAATTTCTATTTTGTTTAAATTATTTCAGAAGACAGAAATAAAATGATAGAAAGCACTCCATTTTATTTAATGAGAAGGGGGTAAACCTGGATACCCAAACCTAACAATATCCAAAAGTCCATTTTCACAGATGTGGCTCATAATCTTCAATTTGACCCTCCAGATCCACTCAGCATTCCTGTTCTCCATCATAGGGGACCTTTCTAGACAACATGAATGGGCCCCTGTGTCCTCTGGTTTCCAATTGGATTTGGAAATGAGGAGCTCTGGCAGGGAACTGGAGGAAAGAGGAGACAAACGTCTGAGTATTTATTCCCCTATTTCACATGTCCTGTGTCTCTCAAAATCCTGGTCCTTCCTTTGGGGCTTATGGTTGATATGAGCCTAAGCCTCACCCACAGACTTGTAAATAGTTCCTTTGTATATAAACCCTCCTTAGATTAAACTAATTTGAGTGGGCCATCTGCTTCCTGTAGACCTTGTCTGATATAACAGATAATAGGATTTTTGCATTTGTGGAAAATATTAAATTACAAGATGTTCTAGTTTTGACAGAAAAAATGCAGTACAGAAAAAAATATACTGTATAGAAAAATACAATATATTGTAAAGTTAAGAAAAACAAAATTTAGAAATATTTAAAATGTATAATAGAGACCAAATACATTTAAAATGTATAACAGAGGTTTATATATTATTTATTTACTATATATTAGATATTAGTATTGTATTTGTTAAATTTCCTAAGTGTGATCATTGTATTGTGGTTACATAGAAGAATGCTCTTGTTCTTAGGAGATACATGCCACAGTATTTAGAGGTGAAGAGTCATGATATCTGTAACTAACTCTCAAATAGGACAGCAAAAGAAAAAAGTATGTATGTGTAAGGAGAGACAAAGCAAATGTGTCAAAATGTTAATAAGTAGTGAACCTATGTTAAGGTATATGAGTATTCACTATTACTATTGCTGCAATTTTTTTGTAGCACTGAAAATTTCAAAATAAAAGATTGGGGGAAAATAATCAAAACAACAAAAAATAGGATGTGAGGTTATATGTGCTAGCATGTTCCCTGCAGCATTGTTAATAGCAAAAATCAAAAACCATTTAAATGTCCATCAGTTGGGGTTTGGTTTTACACACAGTACAATACTGTTTAGCTATTAAACACAGAAGAAATTAATACATTGATATGGAACAATATCCCTAATCATTACATTAAAAATAAAAGCAGGTTAGAGAAAAATATATATAGTACTGCCCCATTTAAAGTAAAATATCTACCTATTATAAGGCATGATTTTGTATATATACTAATGTGTAACGTAGGCTTTGAAACCTGGTTGGGAGAGTATCAAAAAAAAAAAGGAAGAAAAATTATAGAAGGGTGGGGCTTTTATTTTCTCTGTTTTGGGATTTTTAAAAAAAGAAATAAAGATCATATATAAAAGATCATATAACTAAATTTCATTTTAAAAGTTTCTACAGTAATTTTTCCTTTAAAATAATTTCTTTGTATCCTGCTTTGTCAGTGTTGTGTTAAAAAAAATCTGTTAAGAAACTCATTTTGCTCTTATATATTCTGTTTTCAGAGCAGTGGAAAAAGCTCAGTGCTAGAAAGCCTAGTGGGGAGGGACCTGCTTCCCAGAGGTACTGGTATTGTCACCCGGAGACCTCTCATTCTGCAGTTGGTCCATGTTTCACCAGAAGATAAACGAAAAACAACAGGAGAAGAAAATGGTAAATTTCAGAATTGGGATAAGAATTATTTTAAAACCTTGTTCATTTTTGGTATATTCTTTAAAAGATGTGAATTGATTAAACTATTAGAAATTAGTGGCCATAGCAAAATCAGAAGTTCTGTGAAGAGAAGTAGCATGTGTCTTTCTTAATGTAAAAAAAGTAATTTTTGTTGTTTTGAAAGGCCCTGAGTAAAGTTACTGAGAATAAATCCCTTTTAGGTAATTTAGCTTAGTAAACTGTTCTTAACGCTATTTAATGGGAGGATCCAGTGAGACACTCAGTAAACAGGAATCAGTTATTTTAAAGAAAAAGAGTTTCTTTTGGAGTGTTTTAAAGTTTTGTGTTTTTTTCATAGTGTTTAAACCACTGATGCTTTTGGTTTTTTACTTTGATTTAGAATTTAAGTCATTGTAGTTGAAAGGTTTTGTTTTAAATAAAATTAAAATGACTTTGTTTTTTAGCTTAGCAATGTTATCTCACCTTCCCTTTCTGGTCTTACCATGTACCTGCTAATTTTGATTCTTTTGCTCCTCAATCTGAGATGAATGTTATTTATAGAAAGATTTTTAAAATTATTAGTTTTTACTCTCTTTCTCTTCCTAAGGCTAACCTGTACAGCACATACTATTTTTATTTTTATTTATTTATTCATTTTCCTTTTTTTTGTCTTTTTTCGTGTCCGGCAACGGATCGCAACCCTCAGTGTCGCGCCCGTACCCGACTGGGACCGGCAACGGGATCGCAACCCTCGGTGTTGCGGCCGCACCTCGCTCAGCCAGTGAGCGGGAACCGGTCTGTATGTGGGATCCGAACCCTCGGCGGGAGCGCCGCAGCGCTCCCAAGCGGCGCACTGTAGCAGTGCGCCACCGGGCCGGCCCTCTATTTTGATTTTTAAAGACTGCCTCCCCCCCGGCCCACATCCATGTTCAGACTTAGTCTCCAGCTAACCTCAGGCTCTCTCTTTAGTGGACTATATAAATGGTAAACGTGGAGTATGAATACTATATACATAGTAAACATGGAATATTAAAATAAGAAAATATGCACAGTCCTTTATAGCAGTTCTTTTTTGGTTAGATTGTAAGTATTTTAAGAAATGCTGTCTATGTCTATCAGCAGATTTTAAGTTGCTTATTAAATGTGTATTCTATATTAATCTTACTTATGTTACCACGGTTTGAAATGTTTGATGAGAGTAATAAATGTGTATTCTATATTAATCTCACTTATGTTAGTAAGGTTTGAAATGTTCGATGACAGTAATATATTTAATTTTCCTGTTCAGTTCAGTGTTTGACTCAGACTTTCTGTCTTATTTGTAAGTCTGTAAAACAGCTCTAATCATTAAATTACTTTAGCAGCAGAGTACCATGTCTGTTTCTCATCTGCAGAGATCTGTTTTCAATTCAGTTTCATTCTACTTCTTATATTCTGATTTAAGATGAGATGTTAGTATTGATGAAATTATAATTATTTTAATTTCTGTATCTGTTTTTTTCTTTATTTAGTGTAGGAGCTATTGGTGGTGATGGCTTGAATTTAAAAAAAAATATTTTGAGGGGCAAAAAAAAAAAAAAACCCAAATAAACAACCAGTCATGAGCATCTACTATGACTAGAATGTTAATCATTGAAGCAAGTTAATGTTAACAAGTAATATTTTTGGATAGACTGCCAGAGGATATGTAGGAACCCTTTAATATTAGGTAGCTTCTTGGTATGTTATTCATCACTTTGCATTTCTGTAATATTTCTTTATTATTGAAATTCTGAACCTTGAATTTAGTCATTTTGGACTAACCTATGGTTCAGTTTCAAATATGTAGAGTAACACTTTTTAAATTTCATCCCCACTAACTGATTTCCTCAAACAAATTTACCAAACATCTTAAACTAATACTTTAAGAATCTGCATGGTATTAGGTCTCTTTCTTTTAACTTCATTTCCTTCAGTCACTTTGAAAGGGCGGATGATATCCTGTGTCTCAGAAACTCTTTGCAGATGTGGGTAGTATTTCCTTACATAGAACTTTGCGTGTTAGAAAAGGGTATATACGTTGCAGCTATAGAAGTGTCAGCTGTTTGGTATCTCTTTGCTTGTATGTCGGCAGTGTTTTGTTGATGCCTCTTGTTGGTGGTTGGTCCGTAAATCTGCATATCTTGACCTGTATATATATTTTTTCCAATCTTAGTGCTTATTTTTTGTATATATCTACCTATATGTAAACTAACTTAAGATAACAACTCAGCTACCCAGACCACAAAATAGATTTCATAAATTTGAGGACTAAATTTCACATGTTTTATTCTAGGATAGTTCCTTGGCTTCTCATCAGAGCCTCTTTATTCTTGGGATAAACAATTCTAGTTTATCATAAATAATTCTAACCCAGAGGAAATTAGGAACCGTGAAGCAAATAAACATAATAGTTAGCTAGAATAGTATGAACTACCTGACAGCCTGACAGTGAGACAGGAGAAAGGGAGGAAAACATAAGCATACAGAAGAACTTCGAAAAAGAAAAAAACAGTTCTTAACCATTTTGTACAGGGATTTATAGCCTATTAGGACTTTGTTTTATAACAAAGGTTTAAGTTACCAATAATAGGTTAAGAGTAATGCATTCTACGATGACATGAGAATTGTAATTCATTCCATTTTAGATATAGGTCCATTAAAACTGGCTAAAATAAAATATTTTCATGTTTAATATGTATAATTTAATTATTAAGAAAATTTTCTTAGCATGAGATCCTTCATTTTGCCAACTATGTGGGATAATTGTATCAATATGTAGATTTATAGTATTCTTAGCTTGCCTTCCACTTCTGCAAACTGTAAAATAATTTTCTGTGAAATTCTTATTAAAAACAAAACTAAACTATGTTTTAGAGTGGGAGGGTGATTTAATTTGAACCTTCAACTCCACAATTATAAGTCAAGCTTTTCTCACATTTCCTTTTAGACAAAGTCCAAAGTAGTGTACAGATTAAATGCCAAAATTGTGGTATTTTACCTCTGAACAGTGTCATGAAATCTTGAAAAATTATAAGAATAGAGTTTATTTTGAGGAGGAAAGTTTTTTGTTTTTGTTTTCTTTTTTTAATACAAATATGTATACTTCATAGAATAATGCTTAAAAATCTGGGTGCAATTTGAATTTTTATCCCCATTTAGTTAAATTACCTATTTGTAAAAGCAATCAGTTGGCCCCCAAAGGCAGTAAAATTATGTATAAAAATTAAGAGAAAAAGGTAGGGTGAATCTTTCTGCACAGGGGGGCTATGATACAAGTAGTAGTCTCCCTTTGGATTGAGTCCATGAAGGTGAAGTGTTAACTTTCTATGGTGTTCTGTTAAATTCAATGTATATTTCAAAGAAAATACCCTTGTAAAGCTCAATGTTAGCTAATTGGGTGAATACTAGCATATACTACTAACTCTTGAGGTTTTGAAAGATGTGTTTAGTATATTTTGTAGATTCTTTTTAACAGGCAATTTGTCTTTTCCCATAGTAGGTTACCAAATATCTCAGACAAATTTTTGAATAATGGATTAATTTTCATCCATTTGTGTCAGAATTAGAAACAGTGGTGACATAATTAATTGTAATAGAAAATATGTTTTCTAAAAATGTTAATACAATATACTTTGCTTATATCACTTAAAAATATATGTACATCCCTCTAATTCTACTTGTAAATTTTGAATAATGGAATGCTATGTGCATTTGAAGTGTGATCAGGTTTCTGCACATTTGATTTTTTAAAAAAGTTTAAAACTTTAGGGATAAGCACTAAACTTATCATTCTATGCTGTTTCTCTTTAACTACAGACCCTGCTACATGGAAAAATTCAAGACACCTTTCTAAAGGTTTCCTTTATCCATTTGTTTTTGGCCCTTCTTTTTCTATTATGCCTGCATGTGTGCTTATGTACTCTTACAGGCTGTGTGCGTTTTTTTCTTCCATTTTTATTTGCCCATCCACATTGATTGCAGGTTTTAGTGGATCTTGTTATCATTTTGGCATTGCATCAAAATGCAAGCTTTTTTGGTGGCGAATGTAATTTATTTTATTTTTATTTTTAAAAACATGCTTGTGAAGCCAGGCCTCTTTTATATGATAAGGTAAATTAAAAATACCTCTTTGGTATGTAGTACCTGCCTTTGTGAGTTCTGTTCACCTAGATTACTCCAGTCCTCCAATGAGACTTCTTGGAAGAAGGTACTAAGCTTCAAGTAGGTGAGCATTTTACTTGCAAAAAGGATCCAGTTTATTTACCTTTATTTCACCAAAGAATTGATCCACTTTTTCTTCAATAAATATTTATCTGAATATCTTATATTCATCTTTATTTTGATTTCTGGTGGCTGACATGCATTACTCAATAAACTTAATCATTAAGACATTTTAAATTTTTTCTGAATTTATCAAAAACAAAATAGCTGTGCTTGGGGGAGGTAAAGTTAGATTACCTTTCTACAAGTAAACATTTCTAGTTTCTCCGGGAAAAAGAACAAAACTTGCTGTCCAAGTTTTAGACCACTTCACACAGTGCAGACAGTGAATATATTTTCATTTTTCTACAAGTGCACAAGGAACAGACCTATGATTGGAAACTAATGGAGCATGGCAGCTCCATACAGTGCATACATGGGTTTTTTTTTCCTTTCTTTTCCTCCATTTCATTTCTTTCCTACCCCTATTTCGAAGAGAAAACATAATCTTGATCCTGGGGGGAAAAATCACCTTGAAAGGGAATGTGGTACAAAGCACCTAGCTCCATACTACTGAGAGAGCTCTTTAAAGGAAGAGCAAATTAGGATTTTATAGGTAACCAACAGGAAACCAAATAAAGAAAAAAACCTGAAAAGTTAGCTGTTTCACTCACATATTGCAAAATATTATCTTGAGTTATGTGTACAAATCTGATATATATGCTTTTTGCATTACTCAGTCGGATTCTTGATTTTTCTTCTTAGCCATTAATTTAATTGAATACTTTCATCAGGTAAACTGCTTTTATGTGTAAGATGTTTAAAAATAAAGAATATAACTTTTACTATAATATAATTACATACAAAATATGAAAAGAAGTGAACAATTTTATTCATAAAATCTAGATTTCAAATGGTGGGAAGACCTGTGAGCACCTCTACCTAAAGTGAGTTATATTTTTGAAATACATGATACAATTTTTTAAATGTGAAAAGTATAATTTAGGATATTTTGAAACTCTTGTTAACTTGTAGTTAATGGCAAAATAGGTACAAATAACAATTTATTGTTTTGCCTTTTTGAGTTCCAAACTGAAGATAAAAAGTAATTTCCATAGTTTCCAGTAAATTAGTTTTTCTTTTTCCAGGGGTGGAAGCAGAAGAATGGGGTAAATTTCTTCACACCAAAAATAAGGTAATCACACTAGAATATAAACAAAAAAAACACATGTTGAAAATAATATTGTGTACAAGTAGTTGATAATTTAGTTTCTTATCACTGGCAATGTGTTATGTTATTTTGTAAAATAAGTCTTATCTCAGTAACATTTCTAACCACAGTAGTTTATTTGGAAAACAGTAACTCAAGGCTGATTCTCTATAATCTGGAGGTTCTTAACTGTTGTAAGATGAGATTCAAAGCTCAAAAAAACTATGAATCCTTGGCTTAGAAAAATATATGTATACATTAGAATGTTTACTAGTTCTCTGAAGCAAATCCATAGACATCTTTGATATATATGGACACTCCCCTCAACTTAAGAACTTTTGATCTTACTTTGAATATTGTGTTTTTTGTTTCAATAATTTTTAGCTTTACACAGATTTTGATGAAATTCGACAAGAAATTGAAAATGAAACTGAAAGAATTTCAGGAAATAATAAGGTAGGTATCTTTTTTAGGGCTGGAAGGCATAAACATCAGTATATATATCATTGAGGGTGTTATGTATATAATGTGTGGAGAGCATTGTCAGTTCATAATTTTGGTCTTTGAAACAAATGGAGTATGTTCACAAATATATACAAACTGCTTAAAATCCCTTTTGTTTCTTAGAGCTTTTACATATATCAAGAAATTTCATTTAGATGTTTATTCTTGATCCTGTCATGTACATACTCTTTTATTATATAATTATACTACTTAATACTGCTATAATGAGTTATTGTTTCCTGATGGATTGATTGTACTTGAACTCAGGATGCATTATATAACTTATGAGATAGATGTACTTTTTTTTTCCTCTTCAGTGTTACAGAGATATATGTGCTTTGAAGAGCTCTTTTTCTTACCTGAGTAAAGCTATGAAAGCAGAAAGAAAAAAATTAGTTTTCTTTTTTTAGTTAGCAACTCATTACTTTCATATTTTCTAAGATTGTGAAGATTTAAAATATATTAGTTATTTTAGATACTGTTAATCTTGACATCAGGCACTATTACTGCCTTACCTAAATCCTTCTGTTTTCTCTTTCTTCTTTCTTTATTCCTATTACCTTTCTCTCTGTTCCCTTCCTTTTGGTTTTTACCTCCATTCTTGTATTATCCAGAGGTACATTTAATCCAAAGAGTGGGTCCTGGCTTAGTACTAGTATTCAACAAATACTTATTGAGTCCTTGTATCTGCCAGATACTATGTTGTTGTGGAGGTTTTTTCCTATCAAAAAGGCATTTCTGGGGCCGGCCCGGTGGCGCACTGCTACAGTGCGCCGCTTGGGAGTGCGGAGGCGCTCCCGCCGAGGGTTCGGATCCCACATGCAGACTGGTTCCTGCTCACTGGCTGAGCGAGGTGCGGGCGCGACACCAACCGCGGGTTGCGATACCGTTGCCGGTCCCGGTCCGGGGGGGGGGGGGCCCGGGCTTGGGAGGGCGGAGGCGCTCCCGCCGAGGGTTCGGATCCCACATGCAGACTGGTTCCTGCTCACTGGCTGAGCGAGGTGCGGGCGCGACACCAACCGCGGGTTGCGATACCGTTGCCGGTCCCGGTCCGGTGCGGGCGTGACACTGAGGGTTGCGATCCGTTGCCGGACATGAACAAAGACAAAAAAAAAAAAAAAGGCATTTCTGAAGCCATGTTAAATCTTTATGCCTATTCAAGATATTTGTGTCTGTTTTAGTGATTGACTGAGCCTTATTCATTATTGAACTTTATAGTCTGATAACCTTTGAGTTACTGCCTCTGCTGCCATACTTCCCTGAATTTCTAATAACCATGTTGTGTAGAAGAGAAAAAGTGGCTGGGAACTAGATTAGCTTATTCTCGTCCTATAATTATATCGGGGATAATTTAGGGTTTGGGGATGTTATTAATCATAACACTAGTCTGAATTGTCTCTCCTGTATCCCCATCTATTTACTCAATGCAGCGATTTGTGCTAATTTTACACAGTACCAGAATTTAGAGAGAGTGTAATACTGTGATGATTCAGAAATTAATTTTTAGTTACACTAAACTGAATGTCATGAAAGATCAAGTCTATATACCTACAAGATGTTTAACTTACTACCTGGCAGCTTTTTATTTACAGTGTCTAAAAAGATGAAAATTCCTCCAACCCCAAATATATGAAAAATCTCTTCTTTCCTCAATCATGTTTGTAATGAAGTAAATGATACTTTGATCTTATGTGATTTTATATGTCTGAATATGTAAATGATTTGATATGCCTACCATAAAGCCCTGAAGGATTTAAAATATCTATGAGATTGGAGTTGTGACGGCATCTGGGCGAAGCTTTGTAATGGACATGATAGAGGTACACCATGGCAGTAAAGATTCTAAAAATTGTATAACCTATGTAGGTATGCCAAATATTGACGTTTAATGATTTTGGAACATTGGAGTGTTTAAAATAGAAAAGTAGTTCATATTAATCTAATATAGCAAATATAAATGTGTAGTGAACTCAGAGTAAAGGATGTTCCAAAAAAGCTTCTTGGGAAATTAGAATTTTCAGTGGGTTAATGAGGGAAAATATAAGGTGGATAAATTAGGTAAGATGACATATTAAAGGGTAAAGAAGGGCATGTACCAAGACAAGATATCAGCATCTCATAAGTATCTGATTCAGTCATGTACATGTAGCTGACTCAGTCCTAAAACTTGTGGAGAGCCAGTGGTGAAGAGGAGGGAGTCTATGCAATACTCTTAGTTCTAAAGGAGGGAAAATGCAGGTATCTCTTAATAATCTGTATTATTATCAGGTAATCTGTCCATATTCTTAATACTTGAATTCAGGGATCTAAAGATTCAGACAAATTTTCTGAGGAATCTCTTGCTATATACACCCGTGCCACTTGATATTCAAAGATCAGGACCCAAGTTGATTGGTATTCTATGCCTCATTCTCTGAATTCAGGAACCTCATAAATTTGGATGTATTATTCTTTTGTTTAGCACTAAGTTTATTAATCATATTTAAGAAATGATATATGCCTAGAATCAAGAGAAAGGAATGCAAAATAATACAGTGGAAATAAATTGTTTATATTAATGGTATGGGGTTGTTATATGGCTGGCTGCTTTACTTCCCATGCATTTTCTCAGATTTTTTTTTTGTAGTTTATTTATTTATTTGTTTTTTATTAGCATATTCATTGTTACAAATCATACTTATTCTTTATCCCCCTTATCCAGTTTTTCCCCTCTCCCTTCCTCCTCCCTTCAGTAACCATAGATTTGTTCTCTACATCTGATAGGTTAACTGTTCCTCTGTTGGTTTGTTGCCTAGATGATTTGCCCAGTACTGAGACAGGTGTGATCAAGGCCTCCCCTATTATCGTAAATCAGATGCTTCTTTTACTACTCTGGAGTGTGTTTGCAGAGAGGGAGGACCTCTTCTTTTTTTTTTTTTTTTGGTCTCCTCTGGTGCCTCTCCTTGTGTCAATGCAGTTGAGAGTCTGGTGTGCTATCTGTGTTGTGGCTATGACTGCTACTAGAGAGACTTGCTGTTTTGTGGCAGCCATGACAATTGTGGTGGCTATGGTGGGCTACCCACATGGAAATGGTGTTTTTGGTGTGCTCTTTACCTGGCTGCAGCTGGGTTTGGCTTCCCCTGACTCCACACCTCAGGACTCCTGTGGGGCCTGGGGCTGTGGTGGCAGCTTGCCTACTTGTGGCTGGGTTCGGCTTCCCCTGGCTCCACGCCTCATTCTAAGATGTTGTTGCAGGGCAGTTGGAGGGGAGGAGAGGGGAAGGGGAGGGAAATAGAGTGGGAAGAGGAGGAAGGAGAGGGGGTGTGATCAGGCCCATGCCCCCAGACCCCATTCTGGCAGGCGAGACCAGGGGGCTTCTAGCAGCAGCTGGGTCATTGCTGGGCTTGATGCAGTTGTCAGTGGGGTGTGACTGAAGCCCTGAGCCCCCAACCACCCTTACTTGGGAGCCTGGGGCGCTTCCTGTGGAAGCTCGGTGGTCATTGCTGGGCTGGTTGTGGATGTCAAGGGGATGTAACTGAGGCCCTTGGCCCCCCACCACCTCAGCTTGGGAGCCCAGGGTGCTTTCTGTGGTGGCTTAGTAGTCATCCCTGGGCTGGTTGTGGATGTTGGAGGGGCATGGCTGGGCCCTCAGCCCCCCACTGCTCTGGCTTGGGAGCCCTGCGTGCTTCCTGTGGTGGCTTGATGGTCGTTGTTTGGCTGGGTTTGGATCTTGGGGGAGGGTGTGTGTGGCTGAGACCCTCAGCGCTCCTCCTTCCCTGACTTTGTAGCCCAGGGAGTTTCCAGTTTTTCTAGGTTGTACAGGTGTTCTTTGGTGGTGTTAGACCTTTACTAGTTGATATCAAACTTTGTCTCTGATCTGTTGGGTATTTTGTTTTTTCTTTCAGTTCTGTGTTGGATTGTTCACTGTTCCCATCACTTAAAGTTGGTACTGGAACTAATTTGTTGTCCTTTGCTTACTTCTAAAGTGGAGGAAATCCTGTGGGGACCAGCACTTGAGCCCTGTAGTTGAGCTAAGCTAAACTGCTTCATTGCTGCTGATTTCCTGGGGACGTCTTTTTGTGCAGCTCAGGTTTTAATGGTTGACCTTGTATGTACTTCTGGGTCTTGTGAGGTCTGGTACACCTGGGTTGTGTGGAAACTCTGGTCTGGGCCTGAGTCTTTTCAGAAAACTGCACCTCTTGCAGTTCTATATTCCTGACCAGTCTCCACTGAGTGGTCCTGCACTGATTGGAGGGCAGATCAGCTGTCCATGTTGTGCCCCAGTGTTCCTTCAGTGGGCCCATTTCCCCCACTGCCTGCACTCCAAATGCTTCCCATGGGACAGGCCACCCGCCGGTCTATTCTGATGACTCACTGGCCTCTGAGTGGCTCCTCGCTTCTATGTTGGTCCATAGGAACCCTGTTAGTGGTCTTGCTGGCCTAGGGGCCACCAAGGCCCTCTTCTCCCCTGCCATCTCCAAGCAACTTCATACCAAGGGCACAGCTGTGGCTTTTGCCAGATCTTGCTCTGTGTGCTCACCAGCTCCAGCCTTGAAGTGACGGGGGCTTGAAATGGCAGGAGTGATCCTTTCTTTCTCTCATCATGGCTTCACCTGCCTTCATGAACTCTGTAGGTCTCTCCTTCTCTTCCTCTGAGCTCTTGTGGCCCCAGCTTGGCTGTTGTTGCTTTTTAATTGTTGTAAATTGGTTGATTTGTGGGAGAAAGTGATGCTGGGGACCATCTATGCCACCATTTTGATTGGAAGCTGGCCCTCATATTTTGGCTGTTGAAAAGTTTTAGGGGTCATGGTTAATTCACATTTAAGAGCATCTAATATCTATCCACTTGAAATGAGGTTTACTTTAGCATATCATTTCATTGAAATTTTTATGATTTTAATATAATATGTTGAAATTTTTTTTAGGGAGTAAGCCCTGAACCAATTCATCTTAAGATTTTTTCACCCAACGTTGTCAACCTGACACTTGTGGATTTGCCAGGAATGACCAAGGTAAGGAATAGTTGTTACTCACTGTGGGTTAGGTCATGTTGTTTTTCCTTACCCCTAATGAGAATAATCAGCTGCTTTTTGCAGTCATGCTAGTTCTCTTAGCAGCATTTGATATAGCTGAGTGTTTCCTTTTGTATTGAAACACTTCCTTTACTTGGCATCCAGGATTCCACACTCTACAGGTTTATCTCCAATCACACTGGCCATTCCTTTTCAGTCTCTTTTGCTGGTTTCTTCTCATTTCCCCAGTGTCCTAACAAGTGCTCCAGAGCTCAGTTTGTGGACCTTTTGTCCTCTAGGTACACTTTCCCACTTGATGATTTAAATACATGAGTGTCTGTATGTTGGTGGCATTCAAATATTTCCACACTTGTATATCCAACTGTCTAACAGGCATTTCACTTAAATGTCTAATAGGCATTTCAAACTTGACATGTCTAATACCAAATTCCTGACCTGTCCCTCAACTAGATTTAATCCCTCTACAGTCTCCCCCATTTCAATAAATGGCAACTCCATTCTACCAATTGCTTAGCAAAAAAGTTTGTAGTCATCCTCAATACTTCTTTATCCCACATCCCACGTACTGTTAGCAAGTCCTTGTGGCTCTCTTTACCTTTACAATATATTCAGAACTCTTATGTCTTACAAATTAGAATCTACTGTCCTGATCTAGCCACTATCATCACACCTGGATTACTGCAATAGTAATAAATAACAGGCCTTCCTCATTATCTATTCTTAACTAAGCAGCCAGAGTGATGCTATTAAAGTGAAAATTAGATTGTCATTCCTTGGCTGAAAATCTCTCTAGAGCTTTCCTATTTCCCTCAGAGTAAAAGCCTAAGTTCTTACAGAGATCTAAAGTGTCTACTTGATATGTCCCTATTATTCGTCTCCTAACTCCTGCTCCAGTCTCCTGACTTTATTCTTCACTCTGCCTGGAAGGTTCTTCCCCCGGATATCTGTATGAACCTCTCCCCTATTGCATTTAACTTTTGCTCATTCTCTCAAATGTCATTGTTTTAGCAAGGTCTTTCCCTGACTACGCTATGTAAAACCATAATCTAATTTAAAAATCATTTAAAATTATAATCCTCTCTAATCATTCACTAGGCTTACTGTTCTGCCTTATTTTTTTCCATAGCTGTTACCACCACCTGGATACTATACATATGTGTTTGATTATTATCTGTCTCTCATTGCTGAAACCTAAGCTCTGAGAAGGCTGTAATTTTGGTCTTTTTAAAATTCACTACTGTAAAATACTCTGACATGCAGGAAAGTGCCTGAAATATAGTAGGCTGCCAGTAAACACTCAATATTGAATGAATGAAGGAATTTGTCTGTAGGCAGTTAACAGTGACAAATCCTTAACATGGGATTGTGTTAAGTAAACTTTTGGGCAAAAGTCAACTTTTGATATTTGCAAGAATTATGTTTTGAGACTTCACACATTACCAAATTCATAAATACCAGTGCAGTATATTAATTTCTTTATTTTAACTATTTGTAAATGGAGAAATACCTATACTCTGTGGATTAAATGGGGAAATAAAAAGCTGAGTTAATTTTTATTATTAGTTCCTTGCTCATCTCTGTTTGGTTTAGGTGCCTGTAGGTGATCAACCCAAGGATATTGAGCTTCAAATCAGAGAGCTCATTCTTCGGTTCATCAGTAATCCAAATTCCATTATCCTCGCTGTCACTGCTGCTAATACAGATATGGCAACATCAGAGGCACTTAAAATTTCAAGAGAGGTAGATCCAGATGGTAAGGATGTGTTAATATTTAATGACATGTTTGATTTACAAAGGTAAATCCACCCTCAAGAAAGGAATTTTTATTTTTAAAAGGAATATCTCCAATTGTTAGTATAGATTTAAAAAATAACGCTTCCCTATTTTGCTTGTAATTTCAAATAGAAATTCTGATGGAAAATAAAGTCACTAAGTTGCTATACAGGCTAGGCAAAAATCCTTCACATAATGTCTCTTTGTAATGTTTACCTAATGATTTTTAAATAATACAAATGGTTTTGCAAGAAGGGTTTCTTGTTTTGTGTAATAAAATGATTTAGGTTTTTGAATGGCTGACTTTTAAGATTAAATAACTCACAGTAGATAATCATTGTAGATTATTATGATACAAAAGCGAATTATGGTGTCTACATTCTGCAGAAGTAGAAAACATTTCGACATGCTCAAAGCATAGAGGATTCTTAGAAATAAAGGTAAAATCCTTTTATGAAGCATTCATAACCCTAAGGATTAGTTCATATTGTGGGTCAGTGATACTTGACAAAGGATGTAGTGTGCATCTCTTGGTGTATATAAAATGCTGGCTTTGTGAGAGAGTAGTTATTACTGCTGCTAATAAGTGTATGCTTTGCCCTACAAAGAAACCAATTTTTTCACCTAAATAGTTGGGTTTAATTAAATTTTATTTTTATTTAAAGTAAACTGTTAAGCATTTTATATGTATTAACTCTATTTTAAACTGACCCTTGAGCCATAAATATAGTCATGCTTTTGATCTAGTAATCTTAATCTAGTAATGCACAGTAAGGAAATAATCCAACTTGGTATTATTTATAGTATCAAAAAATTAGGATCGGGCCGGCCCGGTGGCGCACTGGATAGTGCGCCGCTTGGGAGGCGCGGCGGCGCTCCCGCCCGAGGGTTCGGATCCCACATACAGACCGGTTCCCGCTCACTGGCTGAGCGAGGCACGGGAGCAACCCCGAGGGTTGCAGTCCCGTTGCCGGTCCCCGGTCCGGTACGGGGGCAACACTGAGGGTTGCGATCCGTTGCCGGACACGGAAAAACACAAAAGACAAAAAAAAAAAAAAAAAAAAAATTAGGATCAACTTAATATGGCCAGCATTAGAAATGCTTAAGTAAATTAAGATAATAATATAATATGAAAATTAAGATTTTTTAGATTTGGAGCATTATAAAAAAATGCTTATAATTGAAAAATATCATATATAAAAAACTATGCAGAGCAGGTGGAATCTCATATATTGCTGATGGAAGTGGTATAGCTACTTTGGGAAACAGTTTGACAGTTTCTTATTAAGTTAAATGAGCAGTCCTACTCTCATGTTAAATGAGAACCTATGTTCATGTATAAACCTATATGCAAATGTCTATAGCAGCTTTATTCATAATTTTAAAAAAGTAGAAACAGCTCAGATGTTTCTCAAATGGGGAATGAATAACCAAACTATAGTACATCCATACAATGGAATGCTACTCAGTAATAAAAAGGAACAAACTATTGATATACACAACCTCACAGATGACTCAAAAATGTATTACACTGAATGAAAGAAGCCAGACTCAAAAGGCTATGTACTCTATGATTCCAGTTATATAACATTCTAGAAAAGGCAAAACTAGGAATGGAAAAGGGTTCGATTGATGAGCAAAGGAAAATTTTGAGGGGCAGTGGAAATGTTTGTCTTGAGGTGGTAGTGATATATCTCTCTGCATTTGTCAAAATTCATAGAAATGTACACTAAAAAAGAATAAATTTTAAACAAGTAAAAAATGCTTATAAAACAGCCTAAGAGCTAATTAAAAATTACATGTGAAAAAATTTTTTAATTGTACAGTTTAAAATTATTTTTAAAAAAGTATTTGTAAGCAAAGGTTAGAAAATTTTTCATTGAGATCATGAGCATCTACTGTACTTGCTGGTTCTTGCCAAAATTATGTATTCTACTGTGTTGCCAAAGTGTCTTTATACCAAATTTAAGGTGGTTTTAAAGTCTGCTTCATGGAAGTTGTTTATAAAGTTCAAAGGTCAGTTAGGGGAAAATTCTTATTGAAGTGGTTTAAATAAAGTAGCTTAAATTTTCCAAAGAGTTTAATGGCTATTTAGGAAGAAATACTACTCATTATAATTTAAATCAAGAATAAAAATAAATGTATTTTGTGGCAGCAAATGTTTGACAGAACTGTAATTATAAAAATATGAGTATGATGGAAAATAATTACTTTTCTATGATAATTTCCAAACAGCTTTTATTGAGTGCTTGTTATGCTTTTTGCCACTGCCCTTCCAGCACTCCCATAACATACTTAGTGATAGTTACTAAGATTTTATATATTTCTATCCTTGAAATGAGGGCTTCTTTTAAATACCAAAGAAGTCCTTGAAGCCTATGCATTTGAGTTGTGTATTCCAGTGAGGAAAAAAGATTCAGATGTTTCAAGGGTGGGTCATAATCATACATCAGTGCCTTCCAACTTTGCCATAAGACTTCAGTGGAATACATTATAATTTTACAGCTACATATCAGGGCAGATTTTATATGGTATATTTTTGTAGTTAAAAATAAATAAGACAGTTTTGCATGTTTCAGTTTTTAAGAACCAAGTAAGTAATTAGCTACAGATTCCTTTGACCTTAGACATACAATTAAATGTATACATGATTCAGTACACACAGAAGAACCACCTTTAATTACTGAAATAAATAACCTGTATTTTCTTTGGAAATCATTTGTTTAAATTTGATATCGAGGGGCTGGCCCGGTGGCGCACTGCTACAGTGCGCCGCTTGGGAGCGCGGTGGCGCTCCTGCCAAGGGTTCGGATCCCACATACAGACCGGCCGCTCACTGGCTGAGCGAGGTGCGGGTGCAACACCGAGGGTTGCGATCCCGTTGCCGGTCCCGGTCCGGTACGGGCGCGACACTGAGGGTTGCGATCTGTTGCCGGTCACGAAAAAAGACAAAAAAAAAAAAAAAAATGATATCGAAGTATTATATTTTTGTGTGTAATGTATTTTCCTATTTACAAGCCTTTGTAAAGTGAATTGTAACATCAGTGAACCTTGTGCCAATAAAGCTATAATAAAAATGTGGTTTAGTTTGTCAAAAAAAAAAAGTATTTGTAAGCAAAGGTTAGAAAATCTTATCAAAATGATGATAGAGGTATTGTTGGGTGGGATTATAGACAAGGATTTTTCTTTATTAAAACTTAATGGCTTTATTTCATGGGTCATTTTCTCTGTCCTTTTTTTCTTTTCTTTTTTTTTTTCTTTCCATTTTCTAGGTCGCAGAACCCTAGCAGTGATCACTAAACTTGATCTCATGGATGCGGGTACTGATGCCATGGATGTATTAATGGGAAGGGTTATTCCAGTCAAACTTGGAATAATTGGAGTAGTTAACAGGTTAGCAATCAAGAATGGGATGAGAACTGTGGCAGTCTCATTTCAAAGCAAGTCTGAATTTCTAAAAATCTGTCTGAAATGTGATACTGTCCTATTTTTCTCCCTTTTACTATAATCTTGGTATTGCTAAAGAATTGTTCTGAAGGCAGAAAAGAGATTCAATAAAGCCTTCTATAGACATTTTTAATGGAAAATGTTTCTAAAGTAAGCAGTGCCCCAAATGGAAGATAATTTAATAGCCAGGCTTAAAAATTCTTGCCTATTATGTTAAGCTATGTATGGTAAGGGTACTGGATAAGGAAAAGAAAATATTACTAATTCGTACCCAATGAAGAAAGCGTTTAAGGTGGTAGGATTTAGTAGATTGGTTTAACCACTAGAAGTAGTGATTCTGTGTAATTGCCAGGATGTGACTTGGAGAATTTTTATTAAAGGTATCCTAACTATAAATAGCTGGTGTTAAAAGTTGTGGAAAGGATACTATTGAGTGTCTAATTATGTTTTAGACACTCTACTGTAATTTTCAAATGGTGTCTCTTGGAATCCTTACAACATCCTGTGAAGTAGGTGTTGATGTCTATTTTATAATCAGAAAACTCAGGTCATACATTTACCAAAGTCACGAATGGCTAGTGAAAGGTAGACCTAGATTCAAGTGAAAATCTCTTAGTCCAAAGCCTTTATATGGTAAGAAGCACTGAAATTATTATGAGATCCGGGTTCTAGTCCTAGTTCTTCCACAGACTAGATATGTGGGTTTAAATGACACATAACATATTTGGAACTCAAGCCTTTTACAAATGAAAATGTTTTTACTAAGCAATTTCTAAAATCCATTCCAGTTTTCTGCTTTTATTCATATGTGTTTCCATACCGTCCCTACTCCCATTTTTTTTCCCTCCCATTTCAACTCTCCCTTTTTAGGCAAGTTTTGTTGTATTTGTAGATTGATGGCTCTTCAAGTTAACTTAATTATTTTTGGTAGAAAGTAATTGTCTGTCCATGGATAAAATATACAGTTGATTAAGATGCACTTATATTTTTGTACCTGTCTATACCTGTTACTCAAGAGTACTGCTTTTGACTATAGTTAATGGTAATAATGAGGCCTAAATTATTTAGGCATTACTTACTTATGAGTCACATAGTTCAAATTTTGGCTGTCGCCACTTAGTGTGTGCCCTTGAGTAAGTTAATCTCTCTGAACCTAGGGGATAATAATACCTATCACATAGAATAATTATGAGAATTAAATAAAACAGTCCATGTCAGGTATAAGGGAACAATGCCTGGTGCTGCTATCATCATCATCATCATAATCATAAATTTTAAGCCATCATTATCACCTTCATTGCCATTATCATCCAAGGTAGGGAGGGGATGACAACTGACTTTAGTTGAACAGTTTTGTTATTTTTCAACCTTAGGAGCCAGCTAGACATTAACAATAAGAAGAGTGTAACTGATTCAATCCGTGATGAATATGCTTTTCTTCAAAAGAAATACCCATCTCTGGCCAATAGAAATGGAACAAAGTATCTTGCTAGGACTCTAAACAGGTAACATTTTTTTACCTTTTGGAAACGAGATGTGTTTCTTTTGCCAATAGGTGTCCGAGAACTTCATTTTCAGTTCTTACATTTTCATTACTGTTCCTTACCATTTCACTTTTGGTTTCTTGTGTACTAGATTCTTGTAAAGTAGATGTCTCTATTTTTATTGGGGTGGTTGTTATTAAGTCATCATGTAGTCTAGAATGCTCAAGTTAATTTAAAATGTTTTAATTATGAAATTTTGGACAGTTTAGTTTTGAGGATAGAGCTAGATAGCAGATGACTTCATTTCCACCTTCAGTTTCAACAGCTGAATTTAAATTTATAATTTTCACATATCTATTTTTAATTTTGGATGTCTTCTATTCCTATTCATAGTAGAAATAATTTAAGTTGTATACCTTGAATTCTGAATGTCCACTGATGGTGTAGGGACTAGAAGACCTTTCTAGACGATTTATAAATGACTGAAGTGAAAGCTATTTTCTCTTACTTTTGTCTTATTCTCTAAATTAAAGGCTGATTGACTTGGATCTTAATAAGATTGATTTTCACTAGGTTCTCATTCTAAAAGATGAGTCAGTGAAACCAAAATTATACAGGAAGAGTTGGATCAAGTTTCTTTGTGGTAATTACAGTAATATGAAAATAATTTGCATTGTTTTATCATTTTATATCTGGTTTTCTAGCAATTGCTACAATTTGATGGGGTGAAGGTGAATTTAAAAAGCATTGCCCAAAACAGCTTCTTTCGTGTCATTTTTTTCAGACTATGTATTTACCTCTAATCTAAGATTGCATTATTTCCTGCTCTTGTGATACAGGAAAAACTAACCAAAGTGTTTTATTCCTATTCTCACACAGTCATCCAATATGGCACAGAATGCTTCTGACAGTAGATGTGTGGGGGGTTTTCCCGATACATCAAGCAAGCAATTCTCCAGTGGATTCTAGCTGGGTGTCCTCTAATTCAATTAATTTCTGACATTATCTACCTGGAGATAGTGCCAGATCCTACAGCTTGTAAGCTCAGTCCCACAAGACTGCATCCCCACTTCAGATGCCATTTGCAAGCACAGGCTGTGTGGCTTGTGCTTCTGACTGAAGGCTGTAAATTGGGGTTCCCATGACTTTCTCCTTGGGTTCGATTAATTTGCTAGAGTAGGTCACAGGATTCAGGGGAACACTTTACTCATGTTTACTCATTTATTATAAAGGATATTAAAAAGATACAGATTAACAGCCAGATAGAAGAGGTGCACAGGACAAGGCATAATGGGAAAGGGTGCAGAGCTTCCATGCCTCCTCTGGGTATGCCACTGTCCACGAACCTCTATGTGTTTAGCGATCCAGGTCCGTGAGCTCTGTCCTTATGGAAGCTTCATTAAGTAGAAATGACTGATTAATTACATCATTGGCCATTGATGATCAGTTCAACCTTCAGCCTCTTCTGTCCCTGGAGATTGGAGAGTGGGGCTGAAAGCCCCAACCCACTAATCCTGCCTCACTTTTTCTGGTGACAAGCCCCAATCCTGAAGCTTTCTACGGGCCACCAGTCATCTTATTAGCATAGAAAAAAACACTCATCACTCTGGAGATTCCAGTGATTTTAGGAGGTGGGTGCCAGGAAATGGGGAGGAAGACCAAATATATATTTTAGAATTTCACACCTGCCAAGACGCATCATTTAATATGTTTTCCCCATTATTTGCATTTTTAAAATTTGACTTGTTTGGGGCTTCAGAATACCCAACTACTTTTAAATTCTTCCTTTCTAACTTTTGTTAGGTTGTTGATGCATCACATCAGAGATTGCTTACCAGAGCTGAAAACAAGAATAAATGTTCTTGCTGCTCAATATCAGTCTCTTCTAAATAGTTATGGTGAACCTGTGGATGACAAAAGTGCTACTTTACTCCAGCTTATTACCAAATTTGCCACAGAATATTGTAACACTATTGAAGGAACCGCAAAATATATTGAAACTTCAGAGCTGTAAGTAAGAAAATTTTCTATAAATTTGGTTACCTGGATTGCTAGGTCACTTTACCTTTTGCTAAAGTGACTAAGATTATGTGGTTGTGATTTATTACCTACAAAACAGGAATATCATTTTGTAGAAATGATAGAATGATGTCTGGTATGTGTGTAAAAAAGCTTTATAAACTATGTAAAGCAGTAAAAATCTCAGGAATTTTTAAAATAATATTTTAATGGATAAGCTTTTAAAAATATTTCTTAATTTAACTTTTTTTTTTTTTTTTTTTTTTTTTTTTTT